TGCTGCCTCCGGACGCGGCCCCTTCCACCCGCCGCTGTTTTTTCCCTTTTCCTTAAAGAAGCGGATTTTATCTTTTCTCTTTTTTCTTTCTTCCTTTTTTCTTTTTCCTTCGTCCCTTTTTTTTTTAATTATTATTTTTTATTTTATTTTGGGGTTGTTTCATTTTTGCTGAGCCGCCTTCCCTCCCCACCGCAGCCTGAAGCTGTGGGGGAGGGGAGCCCTGTGTTCCCTGTCTTCCCGGGGAGGGTGTGTGGATGTGTGTGTGTGTGTGTGTGTGTTGGGGGGGCACACGGTACTGCAGAAGGGCGACTGTCCCAGCCCCAAACGGGCACCCGTGGGGGTCTCCAGTCCGAATCGGCTCGAGCTGGAAGGCAGAAACCCGCAAGCGTGGACTTAAATCCGATTTTTCTTCCTTTCAGGCGAAATGTCCGTAATTTTTAGATTGAAACTTGAAAGATAAATCAAAATGGACCTTAACAGACTAGGTAAAATATACCCCTGCACGTTTATAAAGACATATTCCTATGCTGTGTAGATAATAACGCACGCTGTTCACCATCTGTATCTTTTAGAGCACAGAAAAAAATGTCGCCATTTTGGTCTCATGCTGAAATATTATTAATCTTTGGGCTTTATCTTGTTCCCAGAACCATCCTTGCCTGGTGCTGAAACATTGTCATGCATCCATGAATCTATATAGAGCTTTTCTGCATAAATAGATAAAGCATGCTCAGTCAAAGAAAGGGATTGCAAATATATTTATACCGTGCTGTTTATTGTATATATAGATATGTAACCGTGGAAGGAAAGGTTATGTAGTCCGATATTTTTCATTGAAACCTGGTTATTACCCAATGCAGACCAACGACTGATTATTATTTTGTAGGCGAAGGAAGCATTTTCGCAACATTGCCAGACACGGCTGGTTTCAAATGAGCGCCCGTATAAAATGCGAGCCGGCCCCCCACCCCTCGGCTCGGTTAGGTTAGATACAACAAAAGGTAACGGTCCAGCCGGTGATTCTTACTGTGTGGCTCCTTTAGCACCACGGATTGCATTTAGGAAAATGTGCAAAGAGAAGGAATTTGGCGTTTCACCCCCCTCCCGCTCCGAAGAAAGGAAAATACAGGCGATTTTGCCCCCTTCTTTCCAGAAACCGTGCTCGAGCCCTTCTTGGGAGCCTGTAGGTTGCAAATCAGAATTCGTATTTTTGCATTTAAGATTCGCCCGACCAAAAGATCCCTCTGGAGGCAGAAGTAATTGATTTGCCCAAGAATTTCGCGTCCCCTCTCCAAAGGTTTTGTTCCAGGTGGTTTTTGTATTAGACTGACCACAAGAAACAAATGTGCAGAATAGAGACACCCACACAGGTTTTACTCACAAAGCCTGGTTAAAGTCCAAACCTCTCTCTCTATTATTTGTCATCCTGCTGTTAATCCCAATATTTTCCAGAGGGGGGGGAAAAAAAATTAAAGAAAAGAAAAAGAAAAGCCCGACCCCAAGGTAGGCACTGAGAAGCAAAATAAAACCGGACTTTTCCCACAAGCAGCCCAGTCCTCTGCCAGCATATTTTAAAAGCAGCTTTTTTCCTTGTTTACTTGCGTTTCTTGCTCTGCCTCTTTTCTCGGCCACATTTGATCTTAGAAAGAGCAAGAAGCTTTAAATGTGTTCTTAAGGGCCAGTAGCTGTCAAACCTTTTGGCGGCCAAGATTGATCGCGCGCAGACACCACCAGAGCTTTGTTTGGACTAAAAGCAAGAAAATTAAACCCCTTGCATTTTCCAACAGCATCGATATTTGTAAGGCATCCCTTTTGAGGGATTAAATGACAAGTCTCGTTCTATATTTTATTTAAACAAGCAACCACCAAAAAGCCCATTTAAAGCCTCCCGGCCCCTCCCCTCCCCCTCTCTCCAATGCCTTCGCAGATATGCTGCATCTTGTGGGTGCATTAACTTAAAACCGATTTTTTAAATGCACTTCGTGCAGTCTGGAGGCAGACTGATCCGCTGAGGGCTTGGGGTCTTGTTTTCTTTTTTTTGTTTTTTTGTTTTTTCCCCTTCCTTCTTTTTCTTCTTTTTTTTTTTTTTTTTTTAATTACGAAGACGCTTGCCGACCCCTTTTTGGCAACTCCGAAACCCCCGGAGCACCCCACCCCGCCGGGCACCCCGGGCTCCGCGGGAAGGCACCAGCCCCGGCCGGGCGGCCCAGGGCGGCTGCGACCGTAGGATTCATCAGGCTGGTGATTGTGGCCATCATTGTCATCGCTCTCCCTCTCGCCTCAGCCTGGTTGGAAAATTGTGCCCAAAGCATCCAAATTCGGGACTTGCCTCGACCTAGCAGGGGCGACTGGAGGCGGCGGCGGCGGCGAGAGCCAAGCGTCGGAGGCGAGTGCCGTCTCTCAAGTCATAGCCCCGCAGCATTTTCGCTCTGCCTGGCCCCGTGAAAACAAACCCGCTACCAGCCCATATATTTCCTGGTAATCGAAAATACTCACCAGACCCAGCCTACTACGGTTATTAAGCAAATTATGCCAGCAGACGGGAGTATCGTTTGCAAGCTAAGGCACAGGATTTGGGTTTTTTTTTAAAGAGCCAACAGCCAGACGCGTTTGCAGCCTCGCGATTTGGCTCGCCCAGAGAGGTACTCCTAGGGTTATGTTTTACGGTCCAATCCCGGGAAGCCAACTGGAGAGGGAAGTCATGAAGCACAAGGGCTGCTGCCTATGTGACTCTTCCCCTAGAAGCAAGGTTGCTGAGGAAGATCCTGTTAAACAATGGCTCGGCACCGGCGGCCAATTGTTCGTCGTACTGTACACCCGATAGCCAGCAAAAAAAGGAAAAAAAAAAACAAAAAAGAAAAAAAAAAAGGGGGAAAATGAAAGGGAAAAAAAAAGGAAAAAAAAAAGGAAAAAAGAAAGAAAAAAAGGAAAAAAGAAACAAACAAGGAAAAAAAAAAGAAAGAAAGAAAAAGGAGCCCATCGAGGCTGAGTCGGGAAGGAGAAACTAGTTTTGGAGGAAGTGCTATTCCTAGGAAAAAATCAAGACCCTCTGCTTCAGACTCCTGCCTGGGTGCAACTTCTTATGCGGGGGCCTGGCGGTGTCAAAACTTTGAAGATTAATGGATTACTTTGTTAATGACTCAAGGCGTCAGATTGAGGTGCTTAAATGATTTGTGAGGTGCAAAGCGTTTTCCTGACAGTCCCAAACAATGAGAGAAGAGTGTGCGGGCGGAGGCGAGGGAGGCAGCAGGCTGCAGGACAAGCAGCCACACACACGCTCTCGCACACACACACACACACGCACACGCACACACACTCGCAGCCTCTCACACAAACATATCCACGCACACGCACCCTCCCCTCCACCCCCGATCATTTCAGATTAGGACGCCAAGGGGATAGATACTGGAGATATCATTTCCCTCTTTAAAAAAAGTGTAAATAAAGCCTTTCTGGCCCCCAATGAGGCGTTCCTTCCCGACTTTTTTGGATCAATCAAACAGACAGTGGCTTCTTTTGATTAAAGCCCAAATTGTCATTGGGCAGAGGCAATCATGTGACAGCCAATTCGGTCCAATTTCAACCTTGTCTCCATGAATTCAATAGTTTAATAGTAGCACGGTCCCCATACGGCTGTAATCAGTGAATTAGAAAAAAAACACCCCACCAGCGATCTTCTATGCTATATTTTTTTCTCCTCTCTCTCCTTTTTCCTGGGCCTTCCCCCCCCCGAGCCCCCTGAATCCGAGGGAACTTTTTCTCCGCGGGGGCTGCCAGTTGAAGGCCATGAATTTCGCATTTGAGCGAGAGATCGGTTTTATCAATAGCCAGCCATCGCTTGCTGAGTGCCTGACATCTTTTCCCCCTGTCGGTGATACATTTCAAAGTTCATCAATCAAGAACTCGACGCTTTCACACTCGACACTGATTCCTCCTCCTTTCGAGCAGACCATCCCCAGCCTGAACCCCGGC